ACACAGAAACATAGATATACACAATACACACACATATATACACACACACAAATATATACTCTCTCTCACACACTCACACACACACACACACAATATCAATTGAGACCTCTAGTGGAGCTAAGCGGGAACTGTCCCACTGACAGCTTGAATGTTTTCACTTCATCAAACAATACTAAATTCTTTCCTAGAAAATGTAGAGGTTTCAGTAATTTTAAAAGCCTGCCTATTTATCTTTCATATATGTATTAACTTTTCCTTATATTTTAGATCAAATACCTAATCATTAAAATGATTATATGCAAAATTTAAAAACCAGTTGCTATGACTACAAATGCTTTAAGACTCTAACATATCATTTGAAGTATGAAAATTGTAACAGCATTTGGGTGGAAAGCTCTTTTATCCCTAGTGAAATGACTCACTGTGATTTTGTACGCTGGAGATGGAATGCACGTTGGGAGTCTGGTATCCTGTTAACGATGATGATGCAGAGACTAAAAATACTTGACATTTATATGTTGTTTGACATACTGGGAAATGAAAGCAATGTTGAAGTACTGTATCACTGTCCCAATCCCAAACAAAATGGCAAACGCTGCAATGTACTCTCAGTAACAGGAGACCAGCTTGAAAATGAGAAATGGCTAAAGAAAAGTTCTACAAAATATTAATAATGGGACTGTGAACAGAAACTAATGGTCGATACAGATTTTAACAGCTGCATGTGAGCTAGCTGAAGACATAACTGGCTCAAATGTTTTTTCGTGTACTTTAATTTATGGTTTTACTTATTTGCATTGTGCAAAGAAAAACAAATTCAGTTTGTAAAGAAAGTCCCTAAAGTATCATTTATAGATAACTCTGGCTGGAGATTATCCAAGAGAACATGAGACTTTTCAGCTTGGTAAACACAGTGTTCAGATGAAACAGCTCTGAATTTAAGTAGAAAAAATGCTCAAAAGATAAGGTTTTGACATCATTCATATGCCAGTAATTCAAATGAGGTAATATTGTTTCCAAGTCACACATAAACATAAAGTCAAAAACACTTACCTTACACGTATACATTGACTACAAACTCAAGGTAAAGTTCAGAAACACATGGGACAGACCTTATACTGAACAAGATCCCAGTATGTTTTCATTAATTCACTTTTTAAAAATGTTTACTCATTATCTCTCTAGAAAGGGCTTTTTGTTTTGTTTTGTTTATTTGTTTGTTTTTTGTCTTGACAGGGTCTCACTCTGCTGCCAAGACTGGCATGCTTTGGCATGATTTCGGCTCACTGCATCCTCAACCTTTCAGGCTCAAACTATCCTCCTGCCTCGGCCTCCCAAGTAGCTGGGACTACAGGTGCACACACGCCTGACTTTTTTTTTTTTTTTTTTGTAGAGATGGGGTTTCACCATTTTGTCCAGGTTGGTCTTGAATTCTAGACTCAGGCTATCCCCCAATCTCAGCCTCCCAAAGTGCTGGGATTACAGTTGTAAGCCACTGTACTTGGCCTATATGGAGCTTTTGATTTACTTTTGAGGGAAAGGTGAGACAAATAAAAGAGTGTATGTCTGTACATTTACATTTACCTTTGGGAAGTCAACTTCCCATATAAAATTACTGAACAACAAGATGTGGCATTACATGCTTTCCTAACAACATGACGAGTTACAGATAAAACAGGCAATAGATTAAATACAGAGTACTGTAGACCAGGATGCTTGAGAAATCTGTGCAGGAAAAGGAATTTAAGCTATGATCTAAACAATGGGTGGGATTGGGATAGGCTGAGAATGGCATTCCTCCAAGTATGGCAGAAATTGGAACAAAATCTTAGAGGTAGAAGGAAGCTTAGGATAGAGTTTTAGTTCAGGGAAATTATGGGGAAAAAAGGTAAAGGAATGACCCATTAAAACATTTTGGACTTCAGACAAAATGGAGAAAACTATAAGTAATAGATTCCATAAAAACCTGATGGCTACAAAGGACGGTGCTGGTGATGCCAGGAAGGAAGTTAGCTCTAAATTGAGGCTTCAGATACTGCCGAAGTATTTACTTGGTGATTGGTAAACACTGACTTCCCTCTGAGTGCTATGATAGATGGTATTGGTAATAGGTAGGATATTACCAAATAAATCTTGACCCAAGCTTAAGGAAAATGTAATCCAACTGTCAAGGCAAAATTTATGCTAAAAAAAATTGGAAACACACAAAAATAATTTACGAGTAGACTGAAATCTGCTTAACAACTAAGATAAATGAGAAGTTAGCCAATAATAACCCAAACCAAATGAGGTTACAAAATTTAAGCTTTGTACAACACCCCTCCACTTTTTTTTTTTTTAAGAAGTGCATTATTGTGATGGTTAATTTTATGTGAAACTTGGCTACACCATAGTACCAAGATATTTGGTCAAACTCACTGTGGATGTTGCTGTGAAGGTATTCTTTAGATGAGATTAACATTTAAATCAGACTTTAAGTAAAGCAGATTATCCTCCATTACATGGGTGGGCCTCATCCGATTAGTTGAGGGTCTTAAGAAAAAGACTTAACCTCCCTGAGGAAGAGGGATTTCTGCCTGTAGACTGCCTCTGGACTCAAATGCAACATCAACTTCCCCTTGGGTCTCCAACCTGATGTCCTATCCTGCAAATATGGGACTTGCCAGCCCCACAAATATGTGAACTAATCCTTAAGATAAATTTATCTCCCGCTTTCTCTCTCTCTCTCTCTCTCTCTCTCTCTCTCTCTCTCTCTGTCTCTGTCTCTGTCTCCCCACACACACATACTCACCCTATTGATTCTGTTTCTCTGGAGAACCCTGAGTAGTTCACAATTGTGAACGAGATTGTTAGAGAGAATGTTGTGATAGATAAAAGCAGCAAACAAATCCTCACATGTGGGAAACTTCGTGTGTTTTGCTGGACTTTTTTTGTTTTGGCTTCTTTCCCTCAGAATGGAAAAATTATTTCAAAGCACGTTCAGAAATGAAGTTAATTAGAGGTGAAAACCAGTGAGACAATGGTTTTTGACTCTAATGCTGTAATGAAGGCAGTGGTGGATTGGCCTAGAGTCAAACGATGCATATCAAGCACTGACATAATATGGATGAAGTGCAACCATTAGGAAAACAGTAAATTTACATAATTTTTAATGTCACTAAATAATACATTCACCCGTAGGCTGCTCCTCCTTCAAATTGTTTTCAATCTCAGTGCTTCCTTAAACAATTCCTTAAAAATTTCTTTTCAAATTTCAACATCAACTTATCATATGATCCAGCAATTCACTTCTGGATATATTCCAGAAAGAATTGAAAGCAAAGATTCGCACAGATATTTGTACATCCATGTTCACAGCAGCATTGTTCATAACAGGCAAAAGGTGGAAACAGCCCAAATATTTATCACTGGATAGATAAAAAAAATGTTGTATATAGGATATTATTCAGCCACAGAAAGAAATAAAATTCTGACATATGCTACAACATCCTCAAGACATTAAGCTAAGTGAAATAAGGCAGAGAGACAAAGGTCAAATATTGTCTGATTTTACATTTGAGGTAAAATTCATAGAGATAAAGTGGAATTGGGGTTACCCAACCCATGGAGAAGGAGGGAATACGGTGTTATTATTTAATGGATACAGAGTCTCTATTTGGAATGATGACAAAGATCTGGAGACGAATGATGGTGATGGTTCTACTTCAAGGTGAATGTAGCTAATGTCACTTAAGAATAGTTAAAATGGTAAATTTCATATTATGTATATTTTACCACAATAAAGAAAAACCCTCTTCTCTGGACAGGCAAGTCAGCCTGAAAAGAGGACACCAAGGAAAATTTAGAAAGAGAAAGATAATTAGATTGAGGCTGATATTGGAAGGAGATAAAGAAATCTGGCTGAATGTAAGCTCAAGGGTCTCAAGACAATGATAGCGTCTATATTCCTGAGCCAGGAACAATCAGATGAGCCAAAGTATACATTGTAGTGAGTAGCATAAACTCTTCAGAGGACACACCCCCGCACAAAACACACAAAATTTTCCGTTTAAATCTTTACTTATGAATTACAGTGGTGATTGCAAACAATCCTTCTAGATTTGCTCTGGAAATAACCATATGATTATAATTGAAAAACATTTACTGATCTCTATCTGAATCCAGAAAAGGCATGAGCTATATGGGTTTCTCATTTGTCTACTTTTCTCACAGCATACTAATAAATTTACTATATTGTAGTCATTTTCTAAAACTTCCTAGCTAGAGTTTTAATTTATTAGATATATTCAAAATGCAAATTTTCAGAGCCACCAGTTATAACAAGACACGTTGGCTACCTAATGCAATATCAGTCAGTTGCTTTCAACACAAATTTCAGGTTCTTACGACGGTTTCTTTCGTTTTGGTTTGGTTTTTTGGTTGTGAAGCTTGGGAGATTTAGTGGAGGTACATTATCGATTATAATCCAAGGGACATAATTTGCATTTTTAGCAACAGAAACTATTTCCATTCCTACCAAATTTCTACGAGTTCACTTCTACCTCTATAGAGCTGGAAAAAAGCCTAGTTAAAGATGAAGGCACACATCACCATAGCTCCGCATAATCTCCAAAGGCTCTTGCATTTCATTGAAAGGATATTTAATCATCTGTTTTATCCATTGTGAAATCTTCCACAATTTTGCTCAAGTCTCAAAGTACAGTTATTATTGATTTAGCCAAAAGTGCCCATCTTGGTCTTCTAATATTTTAGTGGTTAAAATGGTAACATTATACAATCATATTGAAGGAATAGAAGAAAGGAGACAAGGTGTACATCGGCTGATGGCTTATTTCTGCATCCTCTTAATCTCAACTTCCTTGTTTCTATATAAAATGACACTGACTTTCCTGACATATTCTTTATTTCAGACCAAGACAGCATTTTAGAAAAAGTATGCCCACTATAGCACAGCCCAATATATGCAGGGATAAGATGAGAATTCCAACAGATTAACTTACAGATGGTTGTTAGGCTGTATAGATGATCTTATCTCCAGCCCTGCCCAGAAACAAACAGGAGACCATTGTGGAGCTCCCAACTCAGCTGTTCAGGACTTAAGATGAACTCTGTAGCAGCCAAGTCCTACATAAACAGGCCTTTCTGGGTGGTCATCCTGGCAGTGTGAAGTATGATTCATTGAAGTGGAGAGTATTTGAGATGACAGAGGCACAGATGACCCCTACAAGGTTCAAATTAGAGAGAGTCCAGGAGCAATAATGAATCCAAAGAGAAACTGAAGCTGACTATTATTTTGTCCAAAGTCAAACGACTCTCTCAGCAGGGAGCACAGCACATTCTCAACCCATCTCTTCCTTTTGCCCATCAACAAACACGTCTTTATTTTATTATGCTTGACATCAAACCAGATTTCCTCATTCAAATCCCTGTTATATTCAGGCTCCATGGCCAGAATTAGCATGCAGTGTTTGTCTTATTTATTCCTGACTCTTTCACTGGGAACTAAAATATTTGGATTACATTACCCATGACAATGAGAGTTCTGATGGTAAAAACATGATCGCATTCTGTTGCCAAGCAAATCAGATATGATTTTGCATGCCAAGCATAAAAATTTGCTAAAGTGTTGGTATTTTTAAGTTTTCTTCACACATGTACTTTTTAAAAAATTTCATCTTATCCTCATGAGAAGACCTAAGATAATTAAAGCAGGTATAATCATCATATTTGATTTAAAAGATGAAGCTGACTCACAGCAAATTCAAATTTAGTTTTCTTATACAGGATTGTGGTGATGACTACTTGGGCAAAAATCACATATGCACATCACAGGGGCTAGAGGTACATTCAGACACCAAAACTTTCTCACAATTTATATGAATAATGAGTGCCAAGCATAGCCTGGGAAAATAGATAGTCAGCCAGATGTTTTCAACACAAATTTCACGTTCTTGCAATGCTTTATTTTCATTTGATTTGTTTTTTTGGTGTGTAGTTTGGGAGTTTTCATGGGGGTGGCTTTGACCTTGAACACAAAGGTAAGTGAAAATGAAAGGTAATTTATACAGCATAAAATAGCAATGATGAATTGGTTGACTTTCCACCATATTTTATCCTTATACAGAGCCTATAAAAGGAAGAATAGTCTGTGAACATCTGAAGAACACATGTGAATAGTGGAGAAAATACTTCCATTCCTAATATTTCTCACAGAAAATTCCTTATGACAGATACAAAATATCATTATTAGAAACTATCAATTTAAATATAATAACAACCGCTAGATCTAGTAAATATTTCTTGTTGACCTGTCTCAAATTTTGTCATCATGGGACACAGGAGCAAAAACAAAATTAGGTGTCTTTATTACTCATCAACTTTACATCATCGTGTGAGCAAGTAACCTCAGTACCTTGAATGCTGAAGCATCAGGTGAAGGAGTGCTACTGCTCCTATGTGTATTTTAAACTTGTTAGGAAATGAAAGTGGTTAAAAGTAAGTTTGTTTTCCAAATTAAAAAACATAAATTTAACCATGTAATACATCCAGCGAAAAAAAAAATTATACAAAGTGGTTTTTTTTTTTTTTTTTTTTTTTTTTTTTTACTTTTGACTTTTGAACTAAGTGGGCCTTTTCAACAGGGTTGTAGGTAGCAATGATCAGTTCAGCTCCTAAATGATTAAGGCTGAAGCGACACCTTCCTTAGAGCAAAGCTGATGACAAATTAATTCCAAGCAGTTTTTACATCACGTGAAAAATGCACTGTTGTAACATTCCTCTATGTTTTAAAATCTGGAGATTAACGAATGTTTTAAAAACAGATTTGGAAAGGCAAAGCAAGCTCATGAAGACATCATCATCTAGGTAAGTTCAAGCAAACTTTGTTTCAGGGTAGACAACGTATTTATCCATCCTATTTTGACTGCCTCAAAGGGAATATTGAAAAAAAATATGAAAAAAAATTCTAGTCAAAGAAGAAATTTCAACCAAGCCATATTAGAATTCTGCAGGATCTGTGTGAAGTAAGAGTATTGTCTACCACCAAATCAGGAATTGATGATCCATCCAAACACATAAAATCCCTTTGGTGATGAAAGCAAAATCCCCAGACAATCTGATTCTTTTTTTCCAAAGTGAGCCTCCACCCTAAATTTCCAACTATAATACTTAATTTGGCAAGGGGACAGTAGCATAAAATGCATTTTGCTCATGAATTATATTTTTCCCTGTTCTTCATGACATTTATGCATGCCAAATATAAATGACTGCACATGGGTTAAGTAACAAAGGTGTCTTTCCTTTCCAGTAGCACACATTTTATTAATAAGGATTTGACCCAATCATCAGAGTGAAGGAAAAAAAATTAAACTGTCTTCTGAAAATAAATAGCATGATCCATCTGAGGCAAATTATCTATTTTAAAGTACCAGTTTCTCTCAGCCTTTCAGAAAGTTACTCGCTCAAAAAGGAAAGTAATTTCTTGGAGGAAATCATTTACCTCAGGTGGAAAAGGGGCAAAGGTGTAGCTCTTGACCTAGCAAAGTCTTTAACCCAGGCTTGGGAACTCAGTATTGAATGGATCCCAATAATCCAATACTAAAGTCAAATTGTAAGGGCTAGAGCGTGTCTTGCACTATTTCAAGGCTCTGCTGATTTTGAAAGGGCTCTTTAAGAGGTTGTCTCAAAACCCATGTGCTCACAAAACTCAATATTGGCATCGTATACCAGTTCCCATAGATTCTCTGATGTTTCTGGAGGTAACTGCATACAGAAATTAGACAGTTTGTTCAGCAGTATTTATTGGTAGGGTAATTTTGAAAAAGTATTATCTCGTTTGTTGTTATTCCAGACACAAATTCTTCTCAAATAGCTTCCCTTGTTCCCGGAAAGCTGAAAATCCCATTCACGCACAGAGATGGGGCACTTTTGAATGCTGTGTTCATAACGACCATTTTTCTACTTCCATTCAGTTTGCTCATCGTACATATTTTAAACTTCAATTTAGATTCTCATGCATCCATTTAACACTAACTCTAAGGCATTCATTTCCAGCATTGATCGCCAAAGGTTGCTTCATCGGTATCCTGCGGGTGGCATGAGGTACGATGGTGCTCTGGCTTCTACCTTCCTTCTTCTTCCATATGAGCTCCTGGTTTGGGTTCCACAACACTAGCAGATTTTTCCCCACCCCAATCAGAATTCCTTGTGGGACTTCAAATCCAGGTTTGGGCATAGGAGGAGTAACAAAGAAATATTTTCCCATTGAAATATCCCCTAGTGAGACCTCGCTAGACGGGCTTGAAGAGGGTTTTCTATCTAAGTAGCCCATCAATTTTCTTCTCCATGTAGAGTGGCATAAACAGGTCTAAAAAAGTAAACTATGATATTCTCTGTAAGTGAATATCCTGTATGTCAGGCTCATAATTTCAAGAGGATAAGTATATTGATTTAACATAAGAAGTGGAGAGCTGGTATGTAAATGCAAGTGTGCATAAAACCTGGAATTTGAATAGTAAAACCAGTTTGAATTTTGACAACCTGACATATGGATAGTAAGATCAGTTTGAATTCTGACAACCTGAAATATGAATAGGTGGGGATGGCTGTGGATAGGGTTAAGATGAAGACAGATATACTGAAATTAGCATGTATTACCTTTTGTCTAGTAATATTACCTCTGGTCTAGTAATGCCAGCTTGGCAGCCTAAACTGAATTTATCCATTGATTTAAATAAATCAGAGGGTGTCAAGTATCTATGCAAAGCTTACATAAGAACTCCATAAGATTTTTAAAAAGTCATCCACAAACAAAATGCAAAACATATGAGTTTGGCCTGATGAAAATATCCCAATAACTGAAGGGAGGGTAAATTTGAATATAGCACATCTCAGGTAGGGTCCTTTTCCCAGCATTAAGCCATTTTGCTTGAGCTCTATGGAGTAGAACACAATAGAAATGAAAAGGACTTTTCCAATCAAATTCTCTTAGGAATGGAGAGCACAAAGGAGGAAGATATGACCCATGGAACTCAAAGCTGAGAGGTGATACAGACCACGTCGACAGTATGACTTCACCACAAGGACTTCAGTAACTCTTAATTTCCATTAGACGGGTTATGGATTTGAGTGCAGTGAGACAGCTTCTGCAGAGAGTGGCTTTTTTTTACAGGATAGTCTCGCCTACGACAGCAGCAACAGGAAACAATACAGTAGCATTAACAGTGGCTTTTAGATATATCGATGCCTCCACTCTGATTACCGTATGAAGCCAGTTCAGGCAGAAAGAAAATACGGGCACATATAGTATCTATCAGAACTGAGTTTATGAGTACTCAAAAGACATCCTCTGGGGACTTCCAGAAATATTTAGGAGGCACGATGAAGGTTTCTGTAGGTCTGGAAGACCATGAGGAAAGGGAAGAGTCAAAGAAACAAACACTCAGGGTGACTTACTGTGACTCATATTCTTGCTTCAAAACCTGTGTGGTCTGAGGAAACACGTGTTATATCCATCAAGAACTGTCTATTTGTTGGTCAGAAGCATACGTGACAAATATTGTGAGTTAGTTCATTTTCAACCACTGTTCCAAATTCATTTACTCCTCTTTACCAACATTTAAAATAAAATTTTCATTCTCCCCTGCTGCTAGGGGTTGACCGTATAAAATGGTTTTGGCCAATGAGACACACAGAATTCTTAAATAAGAATGGTAAAACATTGTGAGAAAAAAACTTTCGCATTTTACACTTGCCAAAACTATTCTTTCTGCCTAGAATGAGAATGTGATGGCTGGAGTTGCTGTAGCTATTTTGTGGCCATGAGATTAAACGCAGTAGAAGATAACTGAGGGAGCCTGGTTCCGTGATGTCTCCCTTGACACCTGCAAGAACCCTTGACTGTCAGCTTCTGGATTTTTTGACATCTCAGAAAATCTTTTACTTCTTTAAGCCACTACTTTGGTTTTTCTCTTAATTTGTAGCCTATTTGATTCTAAATTGATGTTTGGAAAATATTCCACTATTCTAAATAAGCTGTCCCTCTGTTCCTCGACTGACGGAAATTTAGATTTCCTGTTTTGCAATTTGTTGATTCATTTGTTGATTCATCCTGTTGGTACAGAGCAAAGATCAAATGCTCATTCATTACTTTGGGTGCTAATTTG